TCATGGATTCACGCTCGTCCGTTCAGCAGATGATACCCCTCGCAATCAATCGGGATAACCGGGACGCGCTGAAGAAGGCTTACCCTCTGGGTTGGCTATGCTCGCCCTGCAGCTCATTGCCTCGCACCGCTGGCAGGAGCAAATTGGCGACTTCCGAGGAGCGTACACGGAGGCTGACCAGCTTCAACGACCTGAGGGACCACTGTATACCAAGAAGCCAACAGGAGGAATACCCAATCTTCATGCTGATCAGATCGTGGAGTTGATACTGCCGCTGTATGGCTTGGGTGACCGCCTGGCTGGTGGTTCGCCAAGATCAGATCAGCACGTGGCTGAAGGGTAAGGACAAGGGCGTGCAGCATCCCCGGGAGCAGTCTCAGCTCGACCCCTGCCTTTCCTACCTACGAGATGGCGGACGATGATGCTGCGCCTTGACTGGTGGTGATGGCCCCCGTTCCCCACAAGAGCAGACCAACATCGCATCGAGTTTCCTTCCTGGAAGACGGAGGAGGAGGAGGAGGAGGAGGAGGAGGAGGAGCCTCAATAGAGGCGACTACTGCGGCACGACCTCTGGGCAGAACGTCACCACGTGCGCGAGCAGCCGCTTCCCGGCACGGCTGCTCCCCAGGGGCCCCCTGCGCCTCGCTCGGGCCAGTCGGCGCTCGAAGGCGAGCGAGAGACGAGGAAGTGGCAAACGGGGCGGCGATCACTGCCCCGAGACGCCCGTTGGCCCAACAGGCGTGAAACGGAGCGGGAAACGAACCGACGTTTTCCGTTTTACCGACGTTTTTTTCCGTTTTACCGACGCATGGCCCGTTCGTCTGGCCCAACTGGGGACAGACGAGCCAGACATGTGGACAGACCAGACTGGACGGCTGTGCGCAAGCGTCCCAAGGACGGTAAATTCTACCACGACCTACCGTGGGGTACTCGGGAGACCAGCACCACCGTGCGACGATTATGACAGCATTCGGATATGGCCCTGGTTGTGCAGCCTATGCCGGCCGAAGAATTGGACATCGTCATGCACTCGGACGCATCTTTCTGGAACGCGGCGAAAAACGGTACGCCCCCGACGCCAGCCTGGCGCAGGGTGAAGTTGCTCCATCCATGAAGTTCAGCATCATGCAGGTCATATCGACTCAAGCGGGCTGTTGGCAGCAGACTTGCGGGTAGCACACTATTGCGTGCCTTGCTTCAGACGCGCTTCTGAAGCCTCAAGATGGCTTCAAGATCACCCGAGAAAGCCACGACAACGGCTCAGAAGCGCTCCAAGACGGCCCCGAAGTTACTCCGGATCTCATAATAATTGGGGGGGGGTCTGGTTTTGGGGGGGGGGTCGAACGGGCTTCGTCAAACACGATTGGGGGGGGTCTCGATTTTGGACCCTCTGTTGTCTGTCTGGGGGGGTCTACTTCGGGCTGTCATGCAAAACGTTCGGGATGGTCTCCAATGTTTCGACATCTGATAAAGGTTTGGGGGGGATCCAGCTCCCAGCCAGTCGCCAGCTCCCTGGCGACGACGATGACACCAATGACGACGACGCCTGCGACGATGACGACCCCCGCGACGACGACGCCGACGTCATCGCCGACGACAACGACATCGACGACGACGACTAGCCAAGCATGCGAGAGGCGACACTTCAAGCTCCAAGCGGGGGATTCTGATTAACTTCCGCGAGGCCGAAAGATCTTCCCATTGAGCTCGGGAGGCCACGCGAATGCCTGCGGAGACGGTCGAGCTTATCATTGGTATGGGGGGCGTGGGTGGATGTGCGCCCGCTGTAACGCTCGAGCTACCCAATGTTATGGGGGAGTTATGGGAATGGGTGGGGCCGAAATGACAATCGAGCCTTCCAGTGCTTCCATTGTTGTGAGGGTGTTGTGGGAGTGGGCGAGAGCTCGCAGTGACGCTCGAGCTGCTGATGGTGATGGTGACGGCGATGGTGATGATGGTCGCGATGGTGACGATGATGATGATGATGCTAATGATGATGATGATGATGATGATGATGATGATGATGATGATGATGATGATGATGATGATGATGATGATGACGATGACGATGACGATGACGATGATGATGATGATGATGATGATGATGATGATGATGATGATGATGATGATGATGATGATATTGATGCTGCTGATGATGCTGATGATGGTGGTGATGATGATAATGATGGGGAAGCCCATCACAGTATAATCATAGCGTTATGTGTCACGTGCAGTGCCCCGTGGGTCCCACCTCACCTGGGTCTGACATAGGATATGTTATTGAATATTGATTACAGGAAGATACTGGATTTTCCCACACTGGAGATTTGATCCGCCGAGCGCAGAAAATAGGATACACGAGGCCCTCGCACACCCGAGAAAAGATCCAGCTGGATCCATTGGTTTGTACACGTTTTCATTCCAAGAGGAAAAACTTTCGGCCTGGGCATGTCGGATCCGCTCTTTGTGTGATCGGTGGCCCCCAGGATGGCTCCAAGAGGGCCCCCACGGCCCCAAGTGGCCCTTTGCTCCGCTGCATGCTTGTATGCTCACTTCTCCCGACGATTCGCACGAGCGTCGTTTCAGGGTTGGCTGCTGGGGATACGGGAAACGTCAATAATTGCCTTCACCCATCCAACTCTCGCGGTGTCGGCGGACTGGCGTAAGCCTGTTGTGTACAGAGGGATTCAGCACCTGACTAGGCGAACAAAGGTGCAACGTAATGAGAAAGTATTAGTGAGAGGGCGAGGGGGTTAGAAGTGGAACGAACGGGCCTAGCTTGTCTCGCTCTTTCTAGCTCTCTCTCTCTCTCTCTCTCTATATATATATATATATCTTTACCTAACAGCAAAGACTGATAGGTTTCAGTAGTGTCAAAAGAGAGCATCTTGACTCCCCAGGGGGGTCTGGGCGCGTGCCGGGGAGAAGCCGCGGAAGTCGTTTTAAGCAAACAGTTACACACTTCGTGGTCTTCGAGGTCCCAGAACTCCACTCCTGGGCATAATTTTGAGTGCCCGGAGCCAACTGTAGGCCACTTCGTGGTCGAGTTCCCAGAACTCCACTCCCGGGCCAAATTTTGAATGCCCGGAGCCAACTGTAGGCCACTTCGTGGTCTTCGAGTTCCCAGAACTCCATTCCTGGGCATGATTTTGAATGCCCGGCGCCAACTGTAGGCCACTTCGTGGTCTTCGAGTTCCCAGAATTCCATTCCTGGGCATGATTTTGAATGCCCGGCGCCAACTGTAGGCCACTTCGTGGTCTTCGAGTTCCCAGAACTCCATTCCCGGGCCACATTTTGAATGCTGAGGCAGGCTGATGCTGAGGCTGAGGCAGGCTGAGGCTGAGGCAGGCTGAGGCTCAGGCCGAGGCTGCAGGCAGACTGAGGCTGAGACTGAACCAGGCTGAGGCTGAGGCTGAGGCAGGCTGAGGCTGAGGCTGAGGCAGGCTGATGCTGAGGCAGGCTGAGGCTGAGGCTGAGGCTGAGGCTGCAGGCTGAAGGCAGACTGAGGCTGAGCTGAAGCAGGCTGAGGCCGAGGCTGAGGCTGAGGCTGAGGCTGAGGCTGAGGCTGAGGCTGAGGCTGAGGCTGATGCTGAGGCTGAGGCTGAGGCTGAGGCTGAGGCTGAGGCTGAGGCTGAGGCTGAGGCAGGCTGAGGGCAGGCTGAGGCTGAGGCTGAGGCTGATGGGCTGAGGCTGAGGCAGGCTGAGGCTGAGGCCGAGGCTGAAGGCTGAGGAGGCTGAGGCTGAGGCTGAGGCTGAGGCTGAGGCAGGCTGATGCTGAGGCAGGCTGAGGCTGAGGCTGAGGCTGATGCAGGCTGAGGCTGAGGCAGGCTGAGGCTGAGGCCGAGGCTGAAGGCAGACTGAGGCTGAGGCTGAAGCAGGCTGAGGCTGAGGCTGAGGCAGGCTGAGGCTGAGGCTGAGGCTGATGCTGAGGCAGGCTGAGGCTGAGGCTGAGGCTGATGCAGGCTGAGGCTGAGGCAGGCTGAGGCTGAGGCCGAGGCTGAAGGCAGACTGAGGCTGAGGCTGAATGAGGCAGGCTGAGGCAGGCTGGCTGAGGCTGAGGCAGGCTGATGCTGAGGCAGGCTGAGGCTGAGGCTGAGGCTGATGCAGGCTGAGGCTGAGGCAGCCTGAGGCTGAGGCCGAGGCTGAAGGCAGACTGAGGCTGAGGCTGAAGCAGGCTGAGGCTGAGGCTGAGGCAGGCTGAGGCTGAGGCTGAGGCAGGCTGATGCTGAGGCAGGCTGAGGCTGAGGCTGAGGCTGATGCAGGCTGAGGCTGGCTGAGGCTGAGGCTTGAGGCTGAAGGCAGAGGTGAGCTGAGGCTGAAGGCTGAGGCTGAGGCAGAGGCAGGCTGAGGCTGAGGCTGAGGCAGGCTGATGCTGAGGCAGGCTGAGGCTGAGGCTGATGCAGGCTGAGGCTGAGGCAGGCTGAGGCCGAGGCTGAAGGCAGCTGAGTTGCTGAAGCAGGCTGAGGCTGAGGCTGAGGCAGGCTGAGGCTGAGCAGGCTGAGCTGAGGCAGGCTGAGGCAGGCTGAGGCTGAGGAGGCTGATGAGCTGAGGCTGAGGCTGAGGCTGAGGCTGGCTGAGGCAGGCTGAGGCTGAGGCGAGGCTGAAGGCAGACTGAGGCTGAGGCTGAAGCAGGCTGAGGCTGAGGCTGAGGCAGGCTGAGGCTGAGGCTGAGGCTGAGGCAGGCTGAGGCTGAGGCTGTGACTGCGACTGCCGTTGCCACTGCGACTGTCATCGCGAATGCGACTACGACTGCGAGAACAGCTGAATTCGACAACTGGATTTTCATCTGAATCTTAAGGGGAATGCTTCCAGATATGCTCCTACACATCGCTGTTAGGTTGCTTTGCCGGGATAATTTTGTTTCTCTCTCTCTCTCTATATATATATTTGTTCTCTCTTTCTCTCTCTCTCTCTCTCGTTGTTCTCTCTTTCTCTCTCTCTCTCTCTCTTTCTCCCTCTCTCTCTCTCTCTTTCTTTCTCAATCCCATTCCCTCTCCGCCTCCCTTCCGTTCTCCCTCATTCCCCGCCGCATCACAGACATTCAAGCCGGGTCTTGCTGTTTGCTTCGCGCCATTGAATGGGAGCACCTGCTGGGTACAGGACCCTGCCACTGGAGGCGTCTTCAACTGGCGTGGGAGGGGGAAAATGATGAGGGGGAGGAGGAGGAAAAGGAGGAAAAGGAGGAAGACGAAACCTCGAATTGCGCGGCGAGCGCGGGAGCGAGGTATTCGAGCGGACACGCCGGTGTGCCGCGGCAGAAGTGCGAAGCCCCAAGCGCGGTCGCGAGAGGAGAGCCTCAGCTACGAGCCGAGGAACAGATGGCTGCCACCGTAGCCCCAGCTGCCGATAGGCAAATCCATGCCGAGACCACCATCGAAGCAGACATCCCTCGCGTACATCGACGAGTCGTCGAGTATGGGTGTTCCGTCCGCGCTGGCTTCTCCGAAGCCCCCGCGCGCGAAACCGTGCATCATAGCAAACTCGTAGCCTGTAGCGCTGCTCGTTTCAGTCATCCTGGGTCACAGGCAGTGCCGCGCTGCGCTCCTGACCGCGATATACCTCCCCCCGTCCCCGAGAACTTTTGCGCCGGCATCTTGGCGCGTGACCCACCCAGTGCTCGGTAGACAATCGGGGATCTTCTGACCCGGGCCAATCAAGACTTGCCGAATCCTGCAAGGTCCTGCAAGATCCTGCACCCAAGCCCGGGTCAATGCGGAGGATCCTGCAACACCCTGCAAGATCCTGCACCCAAGCCCGGGTCAATGCGACCCTGGCCCTGCAGGATCCTGCAAGATCCGGCGCTCTGGCTGACCCCTGTTTGCGTTGGCCCCCGTCTCTTGAGCCCCGAGACAAACGCGCACACGTTCACCAGGGGAGGAGGTAGACGGATAGGGATAATGAGAGGAATCTGCAAATATACTGAACAGCGGGAGGCGGCGGGGGGATAAGGGGGGATAAAGGGGTAGATAAAGGGTGGGGGAGATAAAGAGAGAAAGAGAGAGAGAGAGAGAGAAAGAGAGAAAGAGAGAGAGAGAGAGGGAGAGAGAAAAGAGAGAGAGAGAGAGATAGAGCGAGAGTGAAATGCATAGGTACATGCACACTCTTGGGGTCGGCGGGCGTGAGGGATCAAACGTCGGTCAAGCAGCGGCGGGGCGCGCAAGAGCACAACAGACCACCAGGGAACGCAGGCAGGGAGGGCCGGAGGGGAGGAGGGACAGAGGCACGCTCAGACCGCGAAGGGCACCGAGTGCGCGCCGGAGAGCACGTCCGTGCAGTGCGTGGCGAGGAGAGACGGCGGAGCAGGACACGAGGCGCGAAGGTGCCAGCAAGCGAGGGTGCGGGAAATGCCGCTGGCGAGCGTCGACCTCAAAGCCGAGCCGTGTACAGTCGGGCTGCTAAAAGAAGGGGCGCTAGATAAGGAACGAAGCCCCTCCTTGGCCCCGTGAGCGCCTCCACGGCCCCAGGAGGGCAAGAGGAACAGCACTGGAAGAACCTGGGGAACGTCGAGCCCCTTCCGAACCCACACTGCTCCTTATTTCGGCGTCCTGACTGCAGGGCCCCCCCCCCCCGCGGCAGCCCGATCAGATGAGCTGAGGACCGGGCCAACGTGGACCCCCCCAGAACGCGAAGACCGCGCGGGCCGTGGGCAAAAAGGTGGCGAGTCGAGAGCGGTCTCTCCACGGGGGCAGCGCCCGGGTCGAGGGACGCTGCCAGGAGACGAGGCGGGATGTCGACCGCCAGGGAGGGGCACGAGGCAGTCGACGGCCGTGCCGAAGAGCACCGTCTGTGAGCCCGGCGCCGGGCCGAACCGCGCACCGCAGGCAGCACGAGGGCCGCGGCCCGCGCGCTGGCCGACCGCCGACGCCACGGCGGCGCGGGTGGGGGAGGGGAAGGGGAGAGGGGGAGGGGAGGGGGAGAGGGGGAAGGGGGAGGGGGAGAGGAGGGGGGAAGGGGAAGGAGGAGAGGAGGGAGGGGGAGGAGGAGGGGGAGAGGAGGGGGAGAAGGGGGAGGGGAGAAGGGGGGAGAAGGGGGAGGGGGAGGAGGAAGGGGGACGCAGGGGCGGGCAGGAGCTGGGCGGGGGCCCGACGAGGCACCAGAGGGGGCAAAGCGCCCGAGCGATGTATAGGGAAGTACCAGGTAACCAGGAGGGGGGCAAGGAGCCCGAACAGCGTGGGAGGGGTGTCAGTGCAGCGAGGCACGAGACCAGGGCGTGAGGAGAGGGCCCGCGGGCCGCAGGGACAGAGAGCGAGGGGGAGTGCCGACGACCAGCTCCACGGGGCCCTCAGGGTGCAGAAGCAGGCGCCGCGCGCGTCTCCACGATGCGCCGCGCGAGCTTCACGCAGACGCCGCTGCGAGGGCTTCCAGCGCGATGCTCACCAGGGAGTCTGGCGAACGCGGCGGCAGCGATAGTAATGTCGAAGGAGATCCTCCGAATCTTGGCGAGGAGCGCCTGCCTCACAGCATAGTCGGATATAGTCGGTAGCATCGTGGGCCGACTCGCCTCGCGGGAGGTCGACGCGCTCGAATTCGAAGCAGACCTCCGCACAGCCGGCGAAGGCCGCACGCGAGCTCTTCGGCAAGAAAGCCCCCCATGTCAGCCTGGCAGCGCGCACCACCCGCGAGCACAACCGCCATCGCGGCAGCAGGGAAAGCCTGCTCGGGGAGCAGTCACCGAGGACGCGAGCCTCGAACCTCGTGGCCGACGGAGCTGCCGCGCGCCGCGGCCCTCGCGCCCCGCCCCCCCCCCCCCCCCGGGAGGCTTCTCCGGGAAGCAGCGCGAGCCGAACGCACAATGCGAGGGAAATCTGCTGCACCTGGCGCCCCCCGAGTGCAGCAAGATTGCCGGCCTTGTCTCCAGATGTTGGTCACCGACCAGCCAGGGACCCTCAGGAGCCCGCCCGAGCCCCAAGGGACCCTCACCCGAGGGTCCAGGCCCTCGCCCGAGGACCTCCCAGGACCCGGAGGGGGGAATCCGTTACTTCCCCCCCCGATCGAGCACGGCGGCCGACTGCGCACGCCCCAGGGGGCCCGACTCACCGGAGGAAAGAGGACACGAGAGAACGCGAAGGCGCGAACAGGGGGCCCTCACCCGCAGGCCCCGGCATGCCACCCGGGGCCCCTCGAGCGAGGGCCCTGCCGACGCCTCCAGGGCCATACCCGGGGGCCTCCCACGCCGGAGGTTGGAGGCGGGGGGAAGAGGAGGGCGCAACATGCGAGCTTCACCGGAAGGCACGCTGTGCCTCCCATGGCCTTCGCCTGGAGGACCCCGCCGCCCCCGCCGAAGCCACGGAGGGACGGAGGAGAGCATAATAAAAGCCCGCATAGCGTGCGGGCCAAGAAGCAGCGTCGACAGAATGCGCCGGACCACGAAGCAGCGTCGACAGGATGCGCCGGCCTGAACCCTCCTGGGGCCGTCGCCCGAGCACGGATACGGGGGGGGAGGAGGCTGGGGCAGACAGAGGGCCCTCGCCCGAAGGCCCACGCGAGCCTCCCATAGGGGCCCTCGCCAGAGGGCCCGCGCCCTGACACGAGGGCCGACCCTGGGCCTCCCTCGCCCGCGGGAGGATGCAGGGGGAGGAGGGAGGCGCAAGCTTAGGGCCCTCGCCTGGAGGCCCTCGCAGTCGGCCCGGGGGCCCCCACCCGAGGGCCGGCCCCATAGGGCTCCCGGAGCCTGCCGAGGGGCGGCAGGCGCAGCAAGCGAGGGCCCGCACCAGTTGGGCCCCCGCTCGCCTCCCGGGGCCCCAACCCGAAGGCCCCGGGCCCACCAGCAAGCGCCCCGCCCTCACCCGAAAGCCTCACCCGAGGGAGGGGGAGGAGGGGGAGGAGGAGGAGGAGGAGGAGGAGGAGGGAGGAGGAGGAGGGTGAGGAGGAGGAGGAGAGGAGAGGGGAGGAGGAGGAGGAGGAGGGAGGAGGAGGAGGAGGAGGGGAGGAGGAGGAGGAGAAGGAGGAGGAGGAGGAGGAGGGAGGAGGAGGAGTGGAGGAGAGGAGGGGGGGAGGAGCAGGAGGAGGAGGAGGAGGAAGGAGGAGGAGGAGGAGGGAGGAGAGGAGGAGGATGAGGAGGAGGAGGAGGAGGAGGAGGAGGAGGAGGTAGGAGGAGGAGGAGGAGGAGGAGGAGGAGGAGGAGGAGGAGGGCGCGCCTCTGACAGCGCACCTCCAAACAAACAGAATATTGTGCCGCTCGAACATCGCGGCCGCCAAACACCAACCACAGACGGTACATCAACACCAACAACACATCGACACCCTGATGCACCCGTCACAAGCAAACAAAACAGACAGCGGACCTCCAAACAAACAAACAAAACAACAGGCGTCCGCCGAACAGCACGTGTGCCGCTCGTGCGTGGCGGGGTACTCCGTGCCGTGTGCGCCTCGCCTCGGCGGCGGTCGACACTGGCTGGCAGGCCTCCATGGTGAACGCGCGCGCGCTCAGAACGCCTGGGCCCGACACTTGAGCGCCGGCGCGATCAGAGCTCCGACGACCCGAAGGGCGACGAAGTCTCCTCGCCGAGCTCCTCGACGAGGTCTCCGGTGGTGTCATATCCAGTGGCGCTGCGTCGCCTCGCCAACACTGGCGACAACAGTCGTTGTAGAACTCGGGGCCCGGCAAGTCGCTGCCGAAGAACTCGAAGTTCGTGTAGTCGATGCCAGGGACCCGGAAGCATGCCCCGAGCAGGTGCAAGCGCCTGAACCCTTTCTTGCCTACGCACGCGACGAACGCCGTCGGGCAAGGGTGGGCGAGAAGCTCGAGCGCGGTATCTGTCCGCCTTGGGAGGGATCTTGTCTTCGATGAGAAGGACCGCTTCCACGTCCTCCGAGGACTGAGCTGCGGGGGCCAGGAAGGCCTCCGCTGCAGCAGCGGCCACATCGAGCCTGTCCGAGATCAGCAGCGGCAGAGACTGCGGAGCGATCGCGGGAATCCTTACGCTGGGATCCTCCACCGCCGCCGCAAGGTTCGGAGCCACGGGAGAGAAGAAGCGGAGCCGATCGATATGTGCGACAATGACCTCCTCCTGGACCGCGCGCCCGCGCAGGTGCATGCTGAGCTGCTCCAAGACGGACTCCTCGTCGAAGTAGTCCACCTGACCACGGCCCGACCTCGGCACCACTGCGACGCGCACTCGAATCCTCTCGACGCGCGCCCCGTGAGTGCGGATGTAGGTCTCGGAGCCCTCGCCGCCCAACCTGCCGATGTGGTCGGCCCACTCTTTCGACACGTCCAAGAGCGCCGCCGCCGAGGGCAGAAGTGACCGCTCGGAGTGCTCGGGCCAAAAGTCCAGAGCCTCTTCGACGAGCAAGCCGAAACCGACTGGCTCTTCGGCCCCCAGGCGATAGGCGCCCCAGCCGCCGCCGTCGGCGCGCAGCCCTGCGTGGATGGACCTCGTGAGGGCGACTGCTTGGCGGTACTTGAACTCCTTGTGGAACACATCCTGCAGCGAGGGCTGCGGGGGCACCAAGAAGTAGCCCCCGTCGCCGCCCGCCACCCGGCGCCAGAGGTTCAAGCCGACGCGGAGACAGCGGGCGTGGACAGCGTAGGCCTAGGACGAGACCGTCACGGGCAGTGACTCCACCGACTTGTCGGCGCCGCTTGTCTTCGCGCGCTGGAGCAAGGTGAACAGCCCGCGGCGCCCGCGGTCCGTGAGCTGCACGGTGTCCAACGCTGGGCCCAGGTGGTCGTCGAACCACCAGGCGTACGTTCGAGGGTACTGCAGCTGGCCGTCGTCGACGACCAGCATCTCTAAGCCGACTAGCAACGCGACCAGCGGCTGGTGGGCTTTGCGCTTGTTGCGCTTGGGCGCCGTCCGTTCCGATGCCATAGCTTCTTGCCCGGTTGGCTCACGGAGGCCTCTCTGGGGACCACGCGAAGGGGGGGGGGGAAGAACGAGCATCGAATCGAAATCAAGCCCAGGCCAGATCGAGCCTGGGCCAAAGGACAACAAGCACAAACACACACACACACACACATCAGACCACCCACACACACACACACTTTTGGCGGTCGCGGCCTCGCGTACAGCGTCGAGACGGAGAACAGACCACACACACACACACACACACACACACGCGCACACATGCACAGCGAATCCAGCTAGCGGGTCTAACGTGGTTCCGAGAGCGAAGAACAAGGGGTCGACGGCACCGGCACGGACCAGAAACGGTTTGCCGTCAATCAATCAAAAGCATGAAAAGCATAAAAGCCAAAAGGACCTCCCATGCCCATCATCATCATCGGGTCGAAGTACGGGTTCACGACTGCGCCCTGACGGCTCAACTTATGGGACAACAGAAAATACATTTGCACTCCGTGACGGGAGATTGGTGGCTTCTCCACTGCCAGACATGACGTTCCAAACTTCCGCACCAGGGCCGAACGCCCTTCACGCGCTTACTCATATAATCAAGTTGTGAGAATTATAGCCGGAGTGCAGTATCCCCAAACAGGGTTTTTAGACCCACTGCGGTTTCCAAGGTAGATTGCGTGCCCGTCCAGTGCGGGCTGGCATGGCATGTTAAAACATGCCTCCTCCTCCTCCTCCTCCTCCTCCTCCTCCTCCTCCTCTTCCTCCTCCTCCTCCTCCTCCTCCACCTCCTCTTCATCCCGAACGGCATTTCGGAGCACAAAGTCGCGAGGATGTCTCCAGCGTAACGGGCTGGACCACCTCGCGCGCGGCATTTCGGACCCCAGAGTTGCGACGATGTCTCGGGCGAAACGTGCTGCGAAAAAGTCTCAAGCGAAACGGGCCGGACCACCTCGAGCGCGGCGTCTCAGAGCTCCGAGTTGCGGGGGCCTCCTGGGGCCTCCTGGGACCTCCTGGTGACCTCCTGGGGCTTCCTCCTGGGCCTCCTGTGGCCTCCTGGACCCCACCTGGGGCTTCCTGAAGCCTCTTGGGGCTCCCAGGGGGGGATATCTAACATGTGGCCGTGGGGGCCCCCCAACATTGGAGAGGGGCCACAAGAGCATAAAAAATCAACGAATCGACACCAGATGTTTATTAACTTGACACGTTCTGATAGGGGGCCTCCTGGGGCCTCCTGGGAGCCTCCTGGGAATCTCCTGTGGACCCCTGGGGCCTGTCCTGGGCGTCCTGCGGCCTCCTGAAGCTCTCTGGGCCTCCTGGGGCTCCCAGGGTCCCAGGGGTGATATGTAACATGTGGTCTTCTTGGCCCCCAGGCTGGACCACCTTTTGCGCAGCATCTGAGAGCTCAGAGTTGCGAGAATGTCTTGTGCGAAACGGGCCGGACCACCTTGCGCACGGCATCTCAGAGCTCAGAGTTGCGAGGATGTTTCAGGCGAGGTGGGCCGGACCACCTCGCGCAGGGCATCTCGGAGCCCAGAGTTGCGAGGATGTCTCCAGCGTGACGGGCTGGACCACCTCGCGCGCGGCATTTCGGACCCCAGAGTTGCGACGATGTCTCGGGCGAAACGTGCTGCGAGGAAGTCTCAAGCGAAATGGGCCAGACCACCTCGAGCGCGGCGTCTCAGAGCTCCGAGTTGCGTGGGCCTCCTGGGGCCTCCTGGGACCTCCTGGTGACCTCCTGGGGCTTCCTCCTGGGCCTCCTGTGGCCTCCTGGACCCCACCTGGGGCTTCCTGAAGCCTCTTGGGGCTCCCAGGGGGGAATCTAACGTGTGGCCGTCGGGCCCCCCAAAAATGGGGAGAGGGGGCCTCAAGAGCAGCAAAAATCAACGAATCGACACTGGATGTGTATTAACTTGACACGTTCTGATAGGGGGTCTCCTGGGGCCTCCTGGGAGCCTCCTGGGAATCTCCTGTGGACCCGTGAGGCCTGTCCTGGGCGTCCTGCGGCCTCCTGAAGCTCTCTAGGGCATCCTGGGGCTCCCAGGGTCCCATGGAGGATATGTAACATGTGGTCTTCTGGGCCCCCAGGCTGGACCACCTCTTGCGCGGCATCTGGGGGAGCTCAGAGTTGCGAGAATGTCTTGTGCGAAACGGCCCGGACCACCTTTTGCACGGCATCTCAGAGCTCAGAGTTGCGAGGATGTTTCAGGCGAGACGGGACGGTGTCTCGGGCGAAACGTGCTGCGAGGAAGTCTCAAGCGAAACGGGCCGGACGAGCGCGGCGTCTCAGAGCTCCGAGTTGCGGGGGCCTCCTGGTGCCTCCTGGGGCCTCCTGGGGACCTCCTGGGGCTTCCTCCTGGGCCTCCTGTGGCCTCCTGAACTCCACCTGGGGTTTCCTGAAGCCTCTTGAGGCTCCCAGGGGGGATATCTAACCTGTGGCCGTTTGGGCCTCTCAAAATGGAGGGGGGGGCACAAGAGCAGCAAAAATCAACGAAGCGACACCGGATTTGTATTAACTTGACACACGTTCTGATAGGGGGCCTCCTGGGGCCTCCTGGGAGCCTCCTGGAAATCTCCTGGGGACCCCTGGGGCCTGTCCTGGGCGTCCTGCGGCTTCCTGGAGCTCTCTGGGGCCTCCTGGGGCTCCCAGGGTCCCAGGGAGGATATGTAACATGTGGTCTTCTGGGCCCCCAGGCTGGACCACCTCTTGCGCGGCATCTGGGAGCTCAGAGTTGCGAGAATGTCTTGTGCCGGACCACCTTGCGCACGGCATCTCAGAGCTCAGAGTTGCGAGGATGTCTCAGGCGAGACGGGCCGGATCACCTCGCGCAGAGCATCTCAGAGCTGAGAAGTTCGAGGATGTCTCAGGCGGGTTCCCAGGGTCCCAGGGAGGATATGTAACATGTGGTCTTCTGGGCCCCCAGGCTGGACCACCTCTTGCGCGGCATCTGGGAGCTCAGAGTTGCGAGAATGTCTTGTGCGAAACAGGCCGGACCACCTTGCGCACGGCATCTCAGAGCTCAGAGTTGCGAGGATGTCTCAGGCGAGACGGGCCGGACCACCTCGCGCAGGGCATCTCAGAGCTCAGAAGTTCGAGGATGTCTCAGGCGAAACGGGCCCGGACCACCTCTCGCGCGGCATCTCCGAGGTCAGAGTTTCGAGGATGTCTCAGGCGAAAAGGGCCGGACCACCTCGCGCAGGGCATCTCAGAGCTCAGAGTTTCGAGGATGTCTCAGGCGAAACGGCCCAGACCACCTCTCACACGGCACCTCGGGGCTCAGAGTTTCGAGGATGTCTCAAGCGAAACGGCCCAGACCACCTCTCGCGCGGCGTCCCGGAGCGCAACTTTTCGAGGATGTCTCAGGCGAAACAGCCAATCCTGGCCAACTCAGAAACGAGAGTTGTGAGGATGTCTCAAGCGAAACGGCCCGGACCATTAAATTGTTGTGAGGATGTCTCTGCTCCGACTTCCGTCGGCCGGAGTTAGCTTCTATCGCAACAGCACCCCGTTCAGCAAGCTGTTTGGGGAAAAAGCAGTCCCTGGGATAAGATCGAGAGGTCCGCGGACGCACGTCTCGAAACAAACATCTGGACGTCGGATGTCTGGGGATGGCGGGAGGCAAGGCGCGCATGGCGGATGCTGAGGCGGCAAAATGACGGAGACGGCGACGGGGAGGCGGAGGCAGAGGCACAGCAGCGAAAGGCGAGAGGCGTGAGGAGGAAGGAGGGAAGAGGAGGCAGTCGGGAGGCAAGAGGAGGGAGGTGGAAGAAATGAGAGAGGTTTCAAGCAGAACGGGGCACACCACCTCGTGCGCAGCATCTCGAAGAACCCTGACGAAGAACCAGTCCCGGGGACGAGATCGAGAAGTCTGCGGGCGCACGTCTCGAAACAAAAATCGTGACGTCGGATGTCTGCGGAGGGCGGAAGGCAGGGCGCGCATGGCGGCATCTCGGAGCTTCGCATTGTGAGGATGGCTCGGGAGAAACGGGCTGGACCACCTCGCGTGCGGCATCTCGGAGCTCAGTATTGGAAGGATGCCCCAAGCGAAACGGGCCGTTCTACCTCTCGCTTCCCGTTAAGCCCTCTCATGCAACTCCATTCCTCATCCCTCCTCCTCCTCCTCCTCCTCCTCCTCCTTCTCGTCCTCCTCCTCCTCCTCCTGCCTGCTCCCTCCTCCTTCTCCTCCTCCTCCTCCTCCAGCACGTTTTGAGACGTCGCTAAAAGGAAAATAAAAATCCTGTTTGGGGAACCCTGTCTCGGAGCCCAGAGTTGCGAGGATGTCCCAGGTCGCACCTGGTCGACGAGTAAGCTGCCGGGTCGGCACTGTGAGAGGCTCCACCGCCATGCTGTGAACTCAGAAGCAACTTTAAGAGGAAGCGGGGGAGGGCGCGGAAGCGGAGGGGCATGTCGTGATGGTTCCCTCGGGGATGATATCGAGAGGTACGTGGCGCACGTCTCAAAAGAAAAAATCGTGACGTCGGATGTCTGGGGAGGGCGGAAGGCAGTGCGCGCATGACGGATGCTGAGGCGGCAGAAACAACGACGGCGGGGACGGGGAGGCGGAGGCAGAGGCGCAGCAGCGGGAGGCGGGAGGAGGGAGGAGGGAGGAGGGAAGAGGAACCAGGCGGGAAGTGGGAAGAGGGAGGCGGGAGAAGGAATGAGAGAGGTTGTGATTGGAGCTCCTGTGCTACGAAACGTCTCAGGCAGAATGGGCCAGACCATCTCGCGCGCAACATCTTCGAGCCTCGCATTGCGAGGATGGCTCAATCGAAACGGGCCGGACCACCTCGCGAGCGACATCTTGGAGCTCAGTATTGGAAGGATGTCTCAAACGAAACGGGCCGGACAATCTTTCGCACACGTTTTGACAAGTCCACATCGCACTCGCTTCCCGTTAGGTCCTCTCCTGCAACTCTTCCCGTCTCCCTCCTCCTCCTCCTCCTCCTCCTCCTCCTCCTCCTCCTCCTCCTCCTCCTCCTCCTCCTCCCCCTCCTCCTGCCTGCTCCCTCATGCACATCATCCGCCTCCTCCTTCTCCCTTCCATCTCCTTCTCCTTCTCCTCCTCCTCCTCCTCCTCCTCCTCCTCCTCGACCTCCTCTTCATCCCGAACGGCATCTCGGAGCCTAGAGTTGCGAGGATGTCTCCAGCGTAACGGGCTGGACCACCTCGCGCGCGGCATCTCGGATCCCAGAGTTGCGACGATTTCTCGGGCAAACGTGGTGCGAGGAAGTCTCAGGCGAAACGGGCCGGACCACCTCGAGCGCGGCGTCTCAGAGCTCCGAGTTGCGGGGGCCTCCTGGTGCCTCCTGGGGCCTCCTGGGGACCTCCTGGGGCTTCCTCCTGGGCCTCCTGTGGCCTCCTGAACTCCACTTGGGGTTTCCTGAAGCCTCTTGGGGCTCCCAGGGGGGATATCAAACCTGTGGCCGTTTGGGCCTCTCCAAATGGAGGGGGGGGGCACAAGAGCAGGAAGAATCAACGAATCGACACCGGATGTGTATTAACTTGACACGTTCTGATAGGCGGCCTCCTGGGGCCTCCTGGGAGCCTCCTAAGAATCTCCTGGGGACCCCTGGGGCCTGTCCTGGGCGTCCTGCGGCCTCCTGGAGCTCTCTGGGGCCTCCCCCTCCTCCTGCCTGCTCCCTCATGCACATCATCCGCCTCCTCCTTCTCCCTTCCGTCTCCTCCTCCTCCTCCTCCTCCTCCTCCTCCTCCTCCTCCTCCTCCTCCTCCTCTCCTCATCCCGAACGGCATCTCGGAGCCTAGAGTTGCGAGGATGTCTCCAGCGTAACGGGCTGGACCACCTCGCGCGCGGCATCTCGGACCCCAGAGTTGCGACGATGTCTCGGGCGAAACGTGCTGCGAGGAAGTCTCAGGCGAAACGGGCCGGACCACCTCGAGCGCGGCGTCTCAGAGCTCCGAGTTGCGGGGGCCTCCTGGTGCCTGCTGGGGCCTCCTGGGGACCTCCTGGAGCTTCCTCCTAGGCCTCCTGTGGCCTCGTGAACTCCACCTGGGGTTTCCTGAAGCCTCTTGGGGCTCCCAGGGGGGATATCTAACCTGTGGCCGTTTGGGCCTCTCCAAATGGAGGGGGGGGCACAAGAGCAGGAAAAAACGAATCGACACCGGATGTGTATTAACTTGACACGTTCTGATAGGCGGCCTCCTGGGGCCTCCTGGGAGCCTCCTGGGAATCTCCTGGAGACCCCTGGGGCCTGTCCTGGGCGTCCTGCGGCCTCCTGGTGCCTCCTGGTGCCTCCTGGGGACCTCCTGGAGCTTCCTCCTGGGCCTCCTGTGGCCTCCTGAACTCCACCTGAGGTTTCCTGAAGCCTCTTGGGGCTCCCAGGGGGGATATCTAACCTGTGGCCGCTTGGGCCTCTCAAAATGGAGGGGGGGGGCACAAGAGCAGGAAAAATCAACGAATCGACACCGGATGTGTATTAACTTGACACGTTCTGATAGAGGGCCTCCTGGGGCCTCCTGGGAGCCTCCTGGGAATCTCCTGGGGGCCCCTGGGGCTTGTCCTGGGCGTCCTGCGGCCTCCTGGACCTCTCTGGGGCCTCCTGAGGCTCCCAGGGTCCCATGGAGGATATGTAACATGTGGTCTTCTGGGCCCCCAGGCTGGACCACCTCTTGCGCAGCATCTGAGAGCTCAGAGTTGCGAGAATGTCTTGTGCGAAACAGGCCGGACCACCTTGCGCACGGCATCTCAGAGCTCAGAGTTGCAAGGATGTCTCAGGCGAGACGGGCCGGACCACCTCGCGCAGGGCATCTCAGAGCTCAGAAGTTCGAGGATGTCTCAGGCGAAACGGCCCGGACCACCTCTCGCGCGGCATCTCCGAAGTCAGAGTTTCGAGGATGTCTCAGGCGAAACGGGCCGGACCACCTCGCGCAAGGCATCTCAGAGCTCATAGTTTCGAGGATGTCTCAGGCGAAACGGCCCAGACCACCTCTCGCACGGCACCTCGGGACTCAGAGTTTCGAGGATGTCTCAAGCGAAACGGCCCGGACCACCTCTCGCGCGGCGTCCCGGAACGCAACTTTTCGAGGATGTCTCAGGCGAAACGGCCAATCCCGGCCAACTCAGACACGAGAGTTGTGAGGATGTCTCAAGCGAAACGGCCAAAACCATGAAAATTGTGTGAGGATGTCTCTGCTCCGCCTTCCCTCGGCCGGAGTTAATTTTTATCACAACAGCACCCCGTTCAGCAAGCTGTTTGGGGAAAAACGTTAGCAATTGGCGTAGTTATTATCAGCAGCAGAGCAAGGAAGGGAAGGGGCGCGCCACCGCCGATGATCTGCGTCATACGCAGCGTGCGCACATGCCGTATGAAATCGACGACAAGCGACCAGGACAGTGACTGTGATAGTGCTGGTCGCCTGATGGAACTGGCTCACGGCGAGGGCTCTGGAGGACTTCCGAGGCCAGATTCATGTTGGGCTGGCGTGGCTGAGCTGGCCCAGCTGATGGGATTGGCTGGGGTGGCTGGCAGGCAGACGCGCAGACAGGCAGGGAGATGCTGTCCAGTCTGGCTCGGCTGACTGGGCTGGCTGACCAAGCTGGTTGTGTACGCTTGCTGGCTCGGCTGGGCCAGTCTGGCTGGCTGCGCCAGCCTTACTGGCTTGCTGAGCTGGACAGGCTGGCGGAGCTGGCCAGGCTGGCTGACTGACAAGGCTGGCTTGGCTGGCTGGGCTGGGCTTGAAAGCTGGGCTAGACGAAAGCCGCCAGGAGCGAGGGTGTTGAATCTTGTGTCTCAGAATCGTACCTGGGAGATGAGCTCTGACTTTGCGGAAGCCGCTGGGAGCGAGATGGTTGCATCCGTGACTCAGAATCACACCCGAGAGATAAGCTCTGGCAACAATTTGATTGCTGGGAACGACCTAGCACGTTCCAATGCCCCGGCGCACCCAGGAGTGGAGTTATAGTAAACGAAGCTCGCCGCGAGCGACAAGGCACGCTCCAGCGACTCTGATGCGTGCCCACGAACTGTTCTAGCAACAAGATTTCCGCTGGAAGTGACAGACAGTCTGATGACGCAGAACCACGCACTGAGACACAATGTCGGAAACAATGTCCTGATCTAACAAGCGAGAGCGTTCCGGCGACTCTAGAATCCATGCGCTAGGAGTGGACTTCCAGCCTCACCAGAACTCAGATGCACACACTGAGGCAACCACTGGCCAAATGATCGTATAGGCAATCCTACGGGCTGTGCCTCGTGGGATCCATGCTCGCAATGGCTATCGAACTCTGAGGCTGGATTGGAGGCGCGGGGGTGAGAAAGTCGTACCCGAAGCTGCGTATCTTGGAATGCTCTCATCTAGGTCCCCCTCGAGGACAACAGCAACCCAACAAGGCATACTCAATGGCCAACGTAGACTCTCCTGAAGCGACGCGGAGGCCCACGTTCGGCTCACTTCCACCGCGATAAGAGTCGGGCGACAGAACATTCATCAGAGTGAGGGTGCCGAACGGTCATTCACTGTCCGTGGGTGCGTGGCTGAAGTGGGGTTCCGCGGTGCGGATTGCTATTGCGCTGCTGCGCTGTGCTTCTGCGTTGCGTCGTTGCGTTGCGCTGTTGCGCTGTCGTCGTCGTCCACGCCCGCGACCCGCCCGCGACCCACCCGCGACCCACCGCGCGACCACCCAGCGACCCACCCCGCGACGAGCTCTACGACCCACCCACGCTGCTCTGACTGAGAGATCGGCGCCTGCTGAGGGCTCGTTGCGGCATGTGTAAAAAACATCGGCGCCCGCGGAGCTCCTCTGCAGATCTTCGCAGACCGCCGACGACCCCACCGCATCCTCACTCTTATCCGCAGGTGCTGGGTGTTACAATGGGGGCGTTGACAGAAGGAACCCTAAATAAGGAACGGGGGCCCCTTTCTCCCATAAGTTGAACTTCGATTTCCCATGGAAAACCTCAGGAAAACGGAAGGCGAACTGCAGCCCAATCAAGGAACACCGAGCCCCTCCCGAACGAAAAGGGTTCCTTCTTCAGGGCCCCGACTGTATGTTACTTTTCTGAGTTGCCGGGGCAACGCCTTCTGATCACCATACTGCAGCGCCATCGACAGATTGTGCCTGTGGTCCAGCTCCTGGAGGGCCTCACCGCTGTGGTCGTTCTCCAAGCCGGGCGGAAATACACGCCCAGCTCCCTGCCACTCCCAGCTTCCGCGTCGGAGAGAACGTGCGAGACAAGCGTTCATCGCACTGCTGGCATGTCTGGAACAACAGATAGCGAGGCGGCTGCAATCCGAGACCACCTCTCCCAACAATCCGCCACAAACAACACACCTGCGAACACAGCATTGGCTAGGGGAGACAGTATCGCATGGACTGAACGTGCTGAATGGAACAACGTCTGCAACCTTCTACACGTAGCAGTTGGGTTCTGGCTGAGCAACTATTGCGACCTCGGTGGTTGTCCCACGTTGCTCTCGTGGGTGAGGCCGAGCTCGCATTCATGGACACGATGCACTGCCAGACCTCTACTGGACCCGCTATTCGGTGGCGAGTCCTGAACAGTATGCACCAACTCCCCAATATTCCCTTTCATTCCTGTTTGAGACACAGGGCCCCCCTCATCCCTCCCCCCATCCTTCCTCCCCCTGCTCCCTCGCCGAGTCCTGCCAATCGCATGCGATCAATACTTATTGTCAGAAAGTGCCGTGGCAAAGCTGGAGGAGTGGATTGAACCACACTGGCCGAGGACCACGTCTTACTTCCCCTCCTTCTACCCATCCCTCTCCTACTCGTCATCCCCAATGACTGTCAAAGGGGCGCTCATTTGAAGACGTTCGAGCCCCCTGGGACACCTGGCAGGCCTGCTCTCGGGCTAATAGTCTGTCAGGAGCCTGCTTGAAAAGCTCTCGGACAGGATGAGAAATGGGAAAGGAGTGCGGGAGAGAGGGAGGTAACTAAAGGGGGAGGGAGAGAGGGGGGAGAGAGACAGCGTGGACGGGGCGGGGAGAGGAGGGGGGAGGAGATGCGGGGGAGAGGGAAGGAAGGAGGAGAAAGCCCGACGCTCCTCCACTTGCGTGCTGCCGGTGGCGAGGGGAACCCAGGCCACCTCATCTCAGCTTCGAGCTCCGCGCTTCGCGCTTTGCGCTTCGCTCTGCGCGATCATCTTCGCGCCAGCACGCCCTCCCTCCTGCAGAAGAGGAGACGGCGGCTTTCCTGCGCAAGCCTTGGGCTCCCTGTGATGGCTTTAAGGCTCCAGGGGGCCGGGTTGGGCCTGCGCGCGGAAGGCGTGCGTGCAGCGTCTCTGGGCGTGCGTGAGAAGTGCACGGTAGCATGACTTTGAGCATGCCTGAACGAATGCAGAGTCCGATTCTTTTGGGTGCGGTCGTTTTGGGTATGCTTGTTCTGGGTATGCCTCAACGAGTTTAGAGTGGTGGTGTCTGTGACAGTCAAAGAGGGGCTCGACGCAAATTGGGATGCATGGTTGTAGTCGCGCCCCCCTGGGTGAACTACGGGGGCGGAGGGCGGGGCTGCTCCCCGTGGCCGCCATGGCGCCGACGCTGATCTTCATGGGCTCGTCCGAGCAGCTGCTCGCGCCGCTGCCGATGCACGTGCTGCCGCTGCTGCTGTCGTTGTTCCTGGCAGCCTTCGCGGCACCGCGCTGGCGTCGGCCCGTCTCCTGGCGAATATTCGTTTCCAGCTATTGCGGCCCTGGGTCGGTGCTGGGCGCCCCTCCCCCCGGCGCGCGGAGTGCGCCCTAGCGGGGAGGCTCAGTGGCCCCTCCCCCCCATCCCTCCCCCACTCCAGGGCCCTCCCGCCCCCCTCGCCCGCCCGAGCGCGGCGGCGGAGCCGAGCGGCAGCGCAGCTGCATGGACGATCCCGGCTCGGCGCTGGACCCCCCCCCCCTCCCTGAGCGCGCGGAGTGCGCCCATAGGGGGCGGCGTCGGAGGCGCCGCCGGGAGGGCCCAGCGCCGATCCGAGAAGCCCGCGGGGAGCTCCGAGAGTCTGTGTGCCGATGTCCCCTCGGGCCCGTCGACGGGAAGTGGGCGCTTGGTCTCCCCAATGCCCCGTGCGCCTGCTTCGGTGGGGAGGGAGGAGGAGGAGGAGGAGGAGGAGGAGGAGGAGGAGGAGGAGGAGGAGGAGGAGGAGGAGGAGGAGGAGGAGGAGGAGGAGGAGGAGGAGGAGGAGGAGGAGAGGGGAGGAGGAGGAGGAGGAGGAGGAGGAGGAGGAGGAGGAGGAGGAGGAGGAGGAGGAGGATATGTCCCTTGTGGGCCCGTCGACGGGAGGTGCGGCCCCGCCCGCGCGCGCGCAGCGCAGACAGATCGTCACGGGAGGAGCGGCGGCGGGCGGCCCCCTGCGCGCGGGCCCACGCGCGGCACCCGGGGGGGCCCGGCCGAGCTCCCGGGGCGGAGGGGCAGGGCGGGAGGGAAGCATCACGGGCGAGGGGGGCCACACGCGAACCCTACCCCTACCCCCCATCCCAGACCCCCTCGAGTTATGAAAAAATCACGACGGGAGGTTTTTCACTATTTTTGGCCTCTGGGGGCCCTTGCCGGCCCTCGGGACCGTCAGAAAACGACTCAGAACGAAAAACCGGTCCCGGGGAATGGGTCGAGACCTCGGGGGGTCGACGTCATGAAAAAATCATGACGTCGGGGGTCTGGGATGACTTCCGAGGGGGGGTGGGGTTCGCCTCGTTCGGGAGCTCCCGAGCGAAGGGAACCCCACCCTCCCCCTCGGAAACCGGAACCCCGAGCTCCCGGGTGGAGGGGCAGGGCAGGAGGGAAGCATCACGGGCGAGGGGGGGGGAGGACAGGGCGATCCACGGACCCCCGCCTGCTGGCCTGACCCATCGCCTGGAGGGGCAGGGCAGGAGGAAGCATCACGGGCGAGGGGGGGGGAGGACAGGGCGATCCACGGACCCCCGCCTGCTGGCCTGACCCATCGCTTGGAGGGGCAGGGCAGGAGGGAAGCATCACGGGCGAGGGGGGGGGGACAGGGTGATCCACGGACCCTCGCCTGCTGGCTTGACCCATCGCTTGGAGGGGCAGGGCAGGAGGAAGAATGACGGACGAGGGGGGGGGACAGGGTGATCCACGGACCCTCGCCTGCTGGCCTGACCCGTCGCCTGGACGTCCGCTCCCCGTGCGCTGCTCGGTCTCGTTTGCGTCTCGACGCACTCCGAGAGATGCTCCAAAAGAGGGGCCGGGTCTTCCGGCGCTGGCCTCGCCGAGACGACGTGTGCAGGTCCGAGCGGTGCCAAGCCGGGTGCACAGCGGGTGTTGGCCTGCCCCGCCCCAGCTGCTCCCCGCCCTGGTGGTCTGGCTTTTTGTGGATGCCACGACAGTGGACACTCCAACAACCCTATCACTGAATTGCAGATGCGTTTACACTGTGCAAGACATGTTCTAAACAGGTTTCGAGCATGTCTTCACATATTTAAGACATGCTTGGAACATCTTTTGGCCATCTGGAAATGATGTGGCAGCACGCTTCCTCTCCATTCATCGACGACCACAAGTCTAGCTTCCCGTTCGGGGGGGCCGCCAGTTCAAGACCCCCTGGACCATCGGGAGCCGGCTGAGCCCCCAGATGGCCCACGACGGTCACAGCCCGATAGCCCCAGCTGCATCCACCACGGCCCCATCCCAGGACGGCCTCCCTCTCCTGCTTCTCCTGCTCCTCGTCCTCCTGCTCCTCCTCCTCCTCCTTTTCCTCCTCCTCCACCTTCTTCTGCTTCTCCTCCTCCTCCTCCTCCTCTTCCTCCTCCTCCTTCTGCTCCTCCGCCTCCTCCTCCTCCTGCTCCTCCTCCTCCTCTTCGAGGAGAGTCTCCAGAGGCCCGAAGCTGCTCCCGAAGCGTCTCCCGGGATGGTTCCAAGGAGGGCCTGGGAACTCCTGCAGATGCCCCCAAGGGACGCAAAGTCTTCGAAACGGCTCTTGCACGACAGAGCGGCGAGGGGTAGGAGGAGGAGGAGGAGGAGGAGGAGGAGGAGGAGGAGGAGGAGGAGGAGGAGGAGGAGGAGGAGGAGGAGGAGGGGTAGGAGGAGGAGGAGGAGGAGGAGGAGGAGGAGGAGGAGGAGGAGTTGTGGAGGGGAAGGGCCCTCCTGGGGTCCTCTTAGGCTCTCTCTGGAGGCTCTCCGGGTCCTCGCGGGCGTGACGGTGCCAACTTGAAAGGCCTGGGGGCCGTCAAAGGCGCTTTACGGCCCTCGGGGAGCGGCACTGGGCCGTCTTAGCGCCGGCTTGGGGCCTGGCTCGGGGGGCTCGGGAGCCATCTTAGCACATCTTTGGGAAACATGTGGCCTTCTTAGGGATTCGCGGGGGATCATCTTGGAATCCCCTAAGGCCCATCCTGGATCCTTCAAGACCGGCAACCAAAAACGCACGATGATTTGCGAAAACGGAAAAGATTTGAAATATGTTCGCCTCCCGCGATTCCGTGAACTATCCTGGGGCCCTCTTGGAGTGAATCTTAGGTCCCAGTTGGTCGGCTTCGAAGCATTTTTGTGCATCTGCCGCGAGTCCGAATTCGTTCGAACCCTACATGCAGTCATACCCCATCACACGCAGGCACACGCAACTCCAGGCTGCGACCACGCGGCGTGCTGGATCAGGTGCTGCTGACAGCGCAGAGAAAGCCGCCATCACGCTTGATCTTCGTAGAATGCAGCACGCTCGGTCGTTCGTTCTCCCTGGTCTTTTGGGGAACTGTGACAACGCCTGCACACACGTCTGTGTACGCTTCCATGGTCCTGTCATCGCTTCTTGAACAATCCCACACCTTTTTCCTTTGCGCGCGCACACAGCATGCCATCCGCTTCAGCCAGCGTGGGCCCAAACAGTCGGTTTACTTCCTCTGGATGTGCATGCTATGCAGGGGCAGAGCGCCCTGGCGAGCGTCCGATGAGATGGCCCCCCCATGCGAGAAGAGAGGGCGCCCACACAGCGCACACACAGCAGCTGAGCCATGACCCCAAAGCGGAGGAGAGGGCGGGCGACCGCGGCGTGGCGAAGAAAGGCAACGGCACAGCAGCGGCGCAGCGACTGCGCGGTGCTGGAACAGCAAAGGAAAGGATGAAGGAGGGAGGAGGGAGGGATGCGGGAGTCATGAGGGGGAGATGCAAGGAAGTGCTCGCGGTTCATACGGTGCCCTTCCCAGCAACTGGGGCTCACGGGGCCCAGCTTGCCGCGTAGCACTAGTCACGGCGGAAGCAAACTGCGCACCAGGTGGAAGCACCCTGGCTTCGCCTTTCTTTGGTGGCACGGCTGGGCGGACAGGGGGCTGCAACACTGCGCTGCGCCGCGCAACCACGCGATCGCAGGACAGACAAGTGACATCTGGCAGAATGCGCCAACAGGCCAGCCACAACAACACAATGGACTGCGGGGAGGCGATGCGGCTCCTCCAGGCACGACTGGTCAGCCGGGAAAGCGAGGAGGCTCGCCACACCAAAAAGCAGCGGAGCGCATGTAAACCTAAGGCACTGCCGAGCCCCTTCCACCCTCGAAACAGACCTTACTTCAACGATCCGGCTGTGGGCATGTAGACGTATGCGTGTGTATACGCAAGCGTGGGCACACGCACTCACGCCACGAAGCGAACTTGCTGCGAACACGCAAAGGGACGCGTGCACACGGAAGCACCCGCCGCTCTCGTCGGGGGCGCCAGGCTGCGAAGCTGGGCTGCTGGATTGCCAGCGCCTTCTGCCATGCAACCATTACTGCACCAATTTTCCCTTCAGTCTCTGAGGGGCGCCCGCGGCGCCCTCAACACGAAGACTTGTGGCACTCCGCAACGCCCTGAGGTCGCTCCACGCTGCTGACAGGCCCCCACGAGACGCCACTGGGCGGTCGACAAAGCCGAGCAGGCCTCCAGGAGCGTAAAACCACGACAGTACAAAGAGGGCCAAAGAGCCGAAGATTACCAGCCTGGAACATATCCCTATCCCTATGCTGGGCACCTCCTCATCACGATGCCAATGTTAGGGATTCCTTCATTTTTCGATGGCGAATCCCTAAGATTGTCGTCGCCTTTTGGCGTCAATCTTAGGGATAGGGATACGTTCGAGGCTGGTAAGAAGACGGCCCACGATGGCCGCACAGCGGCCCGCACACAGCACGCCACCCGCCGCACGCCACCCGCGGCACGGCACGCGCGGCACGGCACGCGCGCCGAGGCACTCGCGGCACTGCAGCACGCACGACACGGGAACCCGTGGCGCGCATGCCTGTGCACACACACACACACACACAACAAGGCCAGATCAAGCAAACTTGTTTCCGGCGACTGCTCCTCCTCTTCCTCCTCGCCCTTCTCCTCCTCGTCCTCCTCCTCCTCCTCCTCCTCCTCCTCCTGGGGCGTTCTCACCCCTTCCCCTCCCTCTTTTTCATGCACCGCATGCGATTTTCTTGAACGCTGACTCTTGACACGGACACTGCCGCCAAAAAGTTGTCCGTGGCATGCGCACCCTGCCGTTGCAGAGCAATGGTCGCATACTTGCCCAGTTGCTGGGTGCCGTTGCGCTGTTGATGGTAAAACTGGCGGTGATTCACAGCAGAAACCAGGGCCAGGGACATTCGAGGACAGGGCCGAAACATTAAAATCACCGACGACTGAAAAGGATTATCTCAGACAGAGTTGGAGCCCCTTCAGTGCAAGCACTGCGTAGGAAACCACGCTCAATGGAAACAGCATTGTACATGCTCCGCGCGATCTTAGCGGACCGTCTGGTGATGACAACCCTGTGCTATACGTGCGCGAAGATCACACGCGCCTCGCCTGCCTGCAAAATTAAACCAGCTGCCGAACGACTGTTCGACCCGAAAAGCACCTCCCCAATCAAGGCTGATCCAGGACCAGATCCCGATCCCGATTCATCGAGCCCGACCCGCACCAAACCATGGAGTGCTCCGCCGATAGGGGGGACAATCCGCTGCCCCGATCCAAATCGACCAGCGGCTCGGCCGAAGCAGCGGTCGACGGTTCAGGGACTTCCGAGCCCGCCTCGGCCCACCCGTCGCTCGGACGTCCATTCCCTGTGCTTTTTTCGGTTTCGTGCGTGGTTGTTTCGCAGGATGGTCCAGGGTGCTCCGTAATAGTCCCCGCCGAGAAGAAGTGCACACGTCAGAGCGATACCAAGACCACTTCGCGCCCTCAGAGCGACGGCAGCACGGATCAGGACGGCCGCCACGCCTCGGGGCCTCAGCCCACGAGGCGCGCTGGAGTGCACCAGGCGGAGCACGAGCCGAGGCTTCCTGCGACTAGGGCGGCACCCACAATCACTTCGGGGCGTCGCTCGCTGCAGGGCAGGCGCGATGAGGCTGACACGCCCACAAGCGAAGGAAAAGCCAAGAGAAAGAGGATGAGTCCTGGCCAAGTCAGGGCTGGGCTGTCACACACCAAAGCGAGGTCACGAATCGACCGAGCGGACGTCTCCTGAATAGCCGTGGCGTTGGCGGCGGTCATCGGGGGAACCTTGTCAGCTTTCAGCTGCTCCTTCCGAGGAAAGCCGGCACACCCATCCCTAAACGGTGGTCCCCGCATTCTCCCGTCCCGCTCCCACTCCCCCTGCTACTTGTGATCATCTGGTTGAGGGAAACAAATAAGCAACACTCCCCCGATCCCCCGCAATTCAAAGTTGGCATGATTACGTATCACCGCTCGGACACTCAAGCTCGAAAGACACGAAGCCGACATTGCATTCGGGGGAGGGGGGAGGGGAATTCAAACCATGTGTTACGCGTGACTGTTGCTTAATTGTTTCCGCCACCTGTCCCTCTCGCATCTGGATGGGACGCACAACAGATACACATCCTGGCCTGCTGCCCAGAAGTGAACCAACCCATCCCCAATCTTCCTTGTCGTGCTTGACATGCTCCGATTCTCACATCACTCCGACGTGCGGCAATACGCAAAAGGACGTCATCCAATCTCGTGTGAATCCACTGAACTCGCAGCCTGACGCAGTCAATAATACCTGTGTGAATACACATTGAGGGCTTCAGCGAAGCAGCCGCCGCCACGCCACGTAGGGGAGTGGTCTGGTGCCTGTACTGCCTGGCTTGGACGACGTAGTCTTCCAAGGGGCCCTGCACCCTCTGTCTGCGTGCATCGGCCCTGCTCCCCCTCCCGTGGTCTAGAAATCCGCCGACCCCTCGGAATCTCCGGAGGGGGTTCCGAATCGACATCGTCTTGGAATCGCTCCCGCAGGGCCTTCGAACGGCCCAAAAGAAGGCCCCTAAGAGACCCCCAAGAGCGCTGCAGGAGGCACCCAGACAGCTCAGGAAAGCCCCAAGACGGCCCAAGACGGGCCAAGAGGACCCCAAGAGACTCTTGAGAGCGCCCCAGGAGGCCCCCAAACGTCTCAAGGAAGCCCCAAGACAACCCAAGATGGCGCCGAGACGTCTCACGAAAGCTTCCAAAGAACCCCACGACGCGCCCAGACAGCCCAAGAAGACCCCAGAAGCCCACAAGAGGACCCAAGAGGCCCCCAAGAAGCCCCCAACAGGCCCCAAGACACACCGTGCGGTGCTAGGAGCCCCCAGAGAAGCCCGATAGGGTCACCAGGACCCTCTCCTGATTCAACGTCCTTTTCCAATTGCCTCTTACTGTCCTCCGTCGTCGTCGTCGCCATCGTTCTCCGCATTCCTCCCTCGTACTCGCCCTCGTTCTCTTGGTCCTCGTCCTTTTGTTTCTCTTCCTCCTCGTTGTCCTCATGCTCTTCCTCGCTACCCTCACGTTCTCCACGTCGTCCTCGTCATCGCCTCCTCGTCGCCCTCGCCTTACTTTTTTCTTATTCTTCGCCCAAAAAGCCAATTGAACCAAAACGGTGCTTCCCGTTCTTGTCCGACTAGGTCCGCCGACCCCTTGGAATCTCCAGGCGTGGGAAAATGATCCTCCCTATAGCCCTCCCACCAAGCCCCCAATTGCACGTTTAATGGGGGGGTAGCTGGCCCTGGACGACAGTGTCCTTGTTCCCCCTTAGTTGCTAATGAAAACGCTGGTGGCGATTTTGTCTTGGGTTTAAAATTTTCATGTTGCGGTTGACCAAACAAAAAACGGCAACATGACACATGACAACAACGACAC